AAGAATGACCCAAGCCCGCCCCGGGATAAGATACATACTTCAATACTTGCCCAATATATTATGGGAGTATTGATCACTAGGCGGTGGCGGTGGCGGTGGCGGTGGCGGTGGCGGTGGCGGCGGCAGCGGCGGTGGCGGTGGCGGTGGCGGTGGCGCTGGTGGGGGCGCGGCTGGACTGACAATGTGTGGTGTTTGCTGTCAGACGATACATGTCACTATGCTCAACATGAGGCGGCGTGGACAATGAACAAAACAGGATGCAAGATACCAAAAACGAACAACAATCAGTTGGGCGATTACGATGCAAGGTGATTGCCGGTGATGGAAGAACGATGAGTGGATCATCAAGGACGTCGAACATGTCCTGACCATTAATGTGACCATGATGATGATACTGACACATGCTGACAATGTTGTTGTTGTTTGTGAAATGATGATAATAGATGATAACAACAATGATGAGGGCAAACATGATGGCCATGATGATTCTGAGAAGGCCAATGATGATGCTGCTGACAAAGATGAAGAAAGCCACGCTTGCAGCGGACCAGAAATCTGTGAATCATGTAAGATCCTGATCACATTTTAAGGCAAATGATGCCGCAGCACATGTTTGATTTTGAAATTTGATTGCCTTCCGCTCTCAAGTGGCCCGATTCCCTCAAGCGGATGTCTGGATCCCACCTCCCAAAAAACAATGTCCAAATTCCAAGGCAAAATTCAATCCAGGCTACCCCTACCTGCCACTGCCACCCCCCGAAACCGACGGGCAAACTTTATGACTTGCTCCACCATCGCCTGCTTAGGCAGGAATGGGCCTTCATGACTGAGTATCCGGCTCAGGCCCAGGATGCCACCAACAACTGTTTTTGCTGCATTCCACTTGTCTCTTGCAGCAGTGTCCTGCAGTCAGCGGTGCTCAAGCTACCAGGCCTTCAACATGCGGTGCCAGCCAACAATCTTTTGATCCCTCCGCGCAAAGGTGAGTGGGCCGAGCTCTCACTCAGTTGGCAGCTCCCACCTGAGGTTGACTGAGACCACGTCATGACCTGAATGTTTATGTGGAGGACTTGGACTAAGACTCTTCGTTGTCGATCGCCTCTTGCAATGCCTGGACAGCACAGAGGTACAGGAGCCCGGCAAGTTGAACCACACGACTCTCCCGCAGCAGGATCTGATCGGCTGAGGTCTTTGCAATTGGCTTCTGGCCATCCACAGTGCAGCCAACAGCGAAGCAGGTGCCCAGAATTTCCTTGGCGGTTCCCTTGAACTCCTGACCATGTAGTGACATCCGTGCCTCTGCTTCTGCCACTGGGCTGAAAAAACTGAGACTCACAGCGGTCCTTGGCCAGGCTCTTTTTCCTCATCTGCCGGCAGATGTCCAAGAACACGTTCTGCAGAAACGGCTTCAAGGCGAAAGCACGCGAAAGCAAGACATTGCAAGGATTCCCAGCTGGCCTTGGTCAGGTTTCCACCTCAAAGGGAAGGGCTCTGACAGTTTGGGCACAGTACAGAAGAACCTGTGGGGCCGTGCTGTGCTTGATGTTCTTGGTCTTCTTGCGATCACGCAGAGGCTCCTTCAGAGCCTGCCGTGGGCCGAGTGGCGGCAACATGGCCGCAAAGCATCCAACGCTGTGGTAGGCTGAGCAGCCTTGATGATGAGGCTCGTGGCATTCGGCTCCACATCGACTTTGGCTGCTCGGTTCTGGATCGTCAGCTTCACGGTCACACGGATGCCCTGCAACCGAAACTCATTGTTGGTAATGGGATACCTCTCCTTTAGCTTGCCTTCCACTGGCTCGTGCCCTTCACGATGTCATCTCCCACCTACCAGACCACACAAGACAGGAGCCTCGGACTAGATGCAGGCACTGCGTAAAGACGCAGCTCGGATGTTCTGGGCTGTTTTTTCGTCAAAGCTGCATCTTCAAATATAAGAAAGCATCTGCGCACCGTCTGTGCCGAAAGTCTACTCGCCTGACTGTTTGATATCATCATTTGCTCTTGGAACAGCTCCCATCCGTCCCACCTTCTTGGGAGACATGCCAAGCGGACCGACCTTGGGCGCCAACACTGAAGATGGTGCCTGTCAAGCTCGACCATCTCAAAGCGTCCAGAAACCTCATTAGTACTGTTATTATGATTATTATGATTATTTGTACTACTATTAGTACTATTGCCAGTATCATTTTTACTACTATATTACTATTGTTACTATTCATACTATCTATCAACCAGTAGCAACCTCTGCGCTGACTTGCCTGCTCGCCACCATACTGCCGCAAGAAAACAACCTCAGAAGCATCAGTGCATCAGGATATTGATGATATTTCGCATGCAATGTAAACACACGCCTTCACCTCATTCGGGTCAAATTTAGGCGCCATGCTTCTCCTCAGTCAAAGAGTGATACAACATCTGGCTTGCAAGCATGTCTCGGTCAAATCAGATCCTTCTGGCCCCACGACAATGACCCCAACCCTTACTTTGCTCTGTTTGCTGCCTAAGGCTCACTCAATGCGCGACCTTGCTTTGAGGGTTACCTACCTTGATCCAAAGTGGCAGCAGATACCATGAATTAGAACGTTTAAAAAAAAATGCGCGATAGCTTACGACCATCGACGTGACAAGAACCGTTGAATTGTTCGGGTCTCTTGGATTGCGCATGTACTTGAAGCAAACCTCATACCACACATAATTCAGGCAACAGCCATTTGCTGTTTGCCGCCCTGTTGTTTAATCTAACTTGTCTGGTTGAGGATGAAGTAAGGTTGGCCTGTGCATTTCAGATTAGATGCTTGTCCTTATCCGTGTCTTTCCGTACTCTCTGTTGAGAGGTGGGCTTGATTCTGCTCTTCTTGGAATCTGTGTATGACCAGTGAAGTTATGTGCTCATAGCGCTTCTGCCTGACATGGGCAGCCCTCACACATGGCATGTACGTTCACAGGACATCCTGGCAGGTGATTGCGTTCCAGACGAAGATGCCATACATCTCCTGAACAACACATGCACATTGTCTCGCCATATAACTACACAAGCCTGCCAACAAAGCCTACGGCCCGCAGTGCTCCTCCTTGTTTTTGTCCTCGATCCACTTGCCTACTTGAACAGGATACCTTGAAAAAAGGCAAAGTGGAGCCAGCGAATGCAACGAGCCACTCTCACTGTAGCCAAGGTAATGAAGAGGAGCGCACGCGGCAGCCCAGGCATCCTCGTCTTCAGATGTCGGATCTACAGCGTCTTCCTTCAAGACCTAACGGTTTGGAATCTGAAAGAAAACATGCTGAAATGCTAATGGGTCAGGCCTTGTTCCTGGTGTAGAAGTCTGCCACCTTCGAAAGCTCCTGAAAAAAAAACAAGCAAAAGCTGACAGATCACTTGGTCTCTCCTCATCAACAGTCCTCCATGAGTTTGAAGCCGCGCACGCCTTCCAGGGGAGGGCTGTCCTGGCTGCGCAGAACGAACTTTTTTTTTATTTCGACAACTTGTGCATTTACACTGAACACAAATGTCCTTGATACCAAGCTCAGCTCCAGTGCCGTCTGCTGTTGGGTCATCACCAAGGTCCTTGCCCAGGTGGCCAACGCGGGAGCATGCATAAACTATGTTATCACGCCTTTCCACGTTCTTTGTTGAGCTGCATCAGTGCCTGGCTGTCAATGCTACCGCCGTCAGTTTGCGAGCTACACGAGCTTGCTGCCTCCTTTGTGTACGTGGCTTCTTCCCAGGCATCTCGCACTGGAATCATCATTTCCTTAAGCCGCTCCTGGCGCGAACAGGATAGGCGGAATTAAAAATCTCAGAAAGACCATGAAAGCCTCCACCACACCATGGAAGATCTTCTCGGTGTCTGAACCCTGCAGGCCTGGCAGTTGATGTTGGCGCATGTTGGCAGCTTTGAAAAAGGCGGCGGAAGAGCCTAGCCGCTCTCCCAGCTGCTCCAAAGCCTGTGTGACATGGACTGCCAGAGAAACGATGTAGGCTGTAGGACGTAGGCGGTGACACGGAGCGCCTCCAGTGCTTCCTCAGACATGACGCCTGTGCAAGAGGCAATTTAAGCCTACAACCTTCCACCTGCATACTGATACTGGACAAGCTTGCTTGACTGCAGTGGACGGAGGTTAGCAGAATGCCGCCAGACATGCCAGAACGCTCGCAACACAACAGACCACGTGTAAAGTATATCGCTTACCTGAATGCCTCATTGCATGAGAATGTGCAAGCACATTTTCTGCACCGTGGTACGGAGCAGAGGTGAGGCTGGCAGGCCTTAGGCCTCCCTAGTGTCTTTGGCTTCGCAGCCTGTAATTCCGTGAGAATTAATTGAATTCTGGAGCAGTCAAAATTTGCGCTGTCAGCTGATTACAGCTCGTCGTGGGCCTCCTCC